CTGAGGGAATGATTGATGAAAAAAACATGTTAAATGTGAAACAGATAATGATCTTATTATCCAAAATGATTCCCTTAAACAATGGTCTAAAAATCCTATTAATTAGATACTTTGCAAGTGACTAAATACAGTTTTACTTCACATTGGTTCCGCCCTTTTCAGTAAAGAGGATAAGCAGCATATTTTTACCTCAACAATGGCATCAACAGGGCAGGCTTCCTGGCAGAAGCCGCAGTAGATACATTTGGTCATATCAATGTCATAGCGTGTAGTTCTCCTGCTACCATCAGCTCGAGTCTCAGCTTCAATGGTAATGGCCTGTGTTCCGTATATGGAGAGAAGGAAAGAGACAAAACGTAGGTCAAACAGTCAAAGGGCACCATGGCAACCATTTTTTATATTTAATTAGTATGGCTGACTAGTAGCAAGAACAATTTCACTATAGTGGAAGGGTTAGATAAAATAAGCTATTATAGACATGTTGGCTTGGATTTCTAAAGTCAGCAAACAATAATTGATATCTACCATCGCTATTACCGCTGTTGATAAAGGTCTTTCCATATAGACAAATATTTTTAAATTGACACAGCAAAAGCAGCAGGTATTGTGATATTAATTGAGCATGAGCATTGAGAATACATGGTCTAAGTCTGTAGAAATCAAATCACACCATTAACAGAATGCAGGATGTGCTATGATGAGAATAGTGTGTAGCATTCAAGTACTTGATGGGTCTTCTTCAACAATATAAATGTAGCCAAACAAGGATTTAAAGTTTTGTTCATTACAGTAAACTAACAAGGTTTTTATAAGGAAAGAAAATTCAGCCCAAAAATATCCAAATGCTTACAAAACATAGATTACTTCAGGAGGGGATTTCCCTAAATGTGCCTTCACGTATCCCACATTTGTTGAGCTGCTGCTGCTTGTGGACACTGATAGATTATGTATCCCCTAACAGAGAGTCATGATAGTCCCTATAATACTGCTTTCTTTCTTTTAGCAGGTCCTGAGTGTGATACAGCTTTCTTTCTTTTAGCAGGTCCTGAGTGTGCTGGTGCTCACCTGAGCAGGGCAGACAGCCTCACACAACTTGCAGGCGATGCAGCGTTCCTCTCCATTAGGGTAGCGGCGGAGGGCGTGCTCTCCACGGAAGCGGGGGGACAGAGGGCCCTTCTCAAACGGGTAGTTGATGGTGGCAGGTTCACGGAACAGGTAACTCATGGTCATCCCCAAACCTGCAGGAAGGTGAGGGTTATGACTCACTTAACTATTATTGTTGATGTTATCGTCAATACATTCCATTAAAGGACTGCCAAAGCACTTCTATGTTTCTTGATACATTCTGACTTCCCTACCCTGTCTGTGGCACAAAGCACTAAGCTCATTCCTTCATATGTTGCTCCATTTTTGAAAAAGGAGCTAGGGGCTACACGTTTTAACAATTGTACTCAAACTGAAGGAAACGTGCATGTATTAGAGACTTTTATGTTAAATGTATGTGGTATTTTATTACGTTTTTAATTTTGGAGTATTATTCATCATAGCAGTCCAGGTATTAATTGTTGCTACCAATTAACATGGACTTCTCCTTAACCCTCTTTACATTGATGTAAATACTGACTTGGATTTTACTGTGTTATTATTGACATTTAGTAGTTTTGCGATTTGATTGTCTCTCTCATAAAATCAAATAAACTATAACAACTATTTTCAGTCTTAAAGGTGACCTATCATGCAAAATGCACTTTTGTACATCTTTTATAAATGAATACGTGTTCCCGGTGTTCCAGGGAACTCGCCAAGTGTTAGAAAACACAACCCTCTCTATTTTCCTCCATACCCAAATCTCTTAAAAAGGGGCTGCAACGGATCTGATACAGACTGATCCAGATTTGAACACTTCTATGAGCGTCAGCAGAGTGGCGCTAGGCTATGGCAAAACTCCACCAATCGGAGGAGACAGCCAGCAGGACATCTGCGTAGAAGCGCTTGAGAACGCTGTAGTACATATGCCAGGCCTGTAGATGGTGGCTGTTCTCACAGATCGAGCCATGAAAAGACAGTGTTAAC